TTGTGTGTTCAACAGAAGACAGACCCTCATACAGGCTAGAGAGTAAGTGACAACAGTATTTTTATAATTACTTAAGGAGGGTTGAAACATGAAAAGATGATGTTTGAGTAGAAAACTGAACTTCGTAGTCTAAAGATGAAGACAAAAATTATGAACCAAAGTGTTCATAAGTTTAGCAGTTTACTGAAATCCCTAATCCCAAGTATGAGCAACAGGAAAAATTGTTTTAGCAAGACCACTAATAACCAACTCAGGTATTTGTGGGGAAACTCTGGCTAAAATGGTTGTGTAATTTGTCCTACTTAAAAGTTCAACACCACATCAAGAGCTGATGTTTCTTTCAGTAAAACTCAAAAACCTCAGTAAATTGTTTACTTAGCAATTCCTACGTAACACCTTTTTAGTGAGGGCCAGTAAGATACGCTTCATTATCTTCTTTATTAAATAGTTAAAGCTCGTTTCTGCCTCACCCCATATTCATCTGTTTCTTTTCAATGCATGTTCACGTGTGTGGGAAGAAGCAGCGTCTCTATGCTGATAAATAAACAGCAGTGGCACAAAACTATAGGAGGGTGAGACTGAGGGTGTGACCGTCTAAAGGAAAGGGGCATAGCTACTCAAGTCTGATGATTAGCAGTCCCTTATGAATACTAGAGGTGTCCAAACTCGGTCCTGGAAATCCGGTGTCCTGCAGATTTTAGCTCCAATTTGCCTCAACACACCTGCAAGGATGTTCTTAGAAAGCCTGGTAAGAGCTTGGTTAGCTAGCCCAGGTGTGTCTGATTGGGGATGGAACTAAACTATGCAGGACACCGTTCCTCCAGGACCGATTTTGGCCACTCCTGACTTGGAAGAAAAGACATGATTTAATCTAATTTTTTCAACTTTATGACTACCTATGAACACTTTTACACTTTTTTGGCAGATAAGCTCATTTTACTACTCCCTAAGAGTCAAAAACAGTTGAGATTTACTATTTTTGGTCTGGCTGGAACACTTTTAGCTTAGCATAATTCATTGAATTGGATTAGACCATTAGCATCTCACTCAAAAAAAAATTTTTCACTCTTATGTAGTTATACTGTGTAATAAGGCTGACAGAAAATGATTTAACTACGAGACAAGCTTTCGGATTTAAATAGGAAAATAGACAAAACTGTGTTTGAAGTAAGATGCTAATGGTCTTATCTGATATAATGATTTAGGATATCCTAAATTTGATCTCAGACCCAGAGATCAGCTGAATGTAATAAAAAAACAGTAAAACCCAACTGTTTAACTTCAGGTGATTTGTAAAATGAGCATATTTTTAAAAAAGTCGAGTTCCCTTAATAATGGGTGTTCCTTAACAAGTCTTTTAGTCATATGAGGAAGAAATAATGGAAAATAATTGCAAAATTAGACTTGGATCTAATGCTCTTATAGTAGCCTGACAAAAGATTAACAAGAGATTAAAACCTTTGGATTGGGACCTGAGAGCTGTCAGAATTAATGGTATAAATAACCCTGTGCATCAAATCATCATTACTCATGTACTCAGTAGGGTTGGGCAATCTCGACCAATTTGGCATCGTATGATGTCTAATAAGAAACATCGCAATGGATAATGGCATCGTTGTCATAGGCGTAGGTGAATTAATTATTTATGAATAATTAATTCATTCATTGATAACAAATGAATGATTTGTAGCCTATCGTTTTTAACTACCTGACACACATGGTTTTTGTTTTACCCATAAACAAATCATTAATAAATAAAGATAAGTTACACACAAATTACCACCAGTCAATCACTTTTTCCGCGGGACTCTGGCATGAATAGGCAGAGTGATCTGTGTCGTTATAATGGCGTCAACAAACTTGGTCAGTAAAAAAGGTGTACGACCAACAGCAACCAACCAACAGTATCTGAAGTTTTCACTAAAATTACTAAGTACAAGTGTAAAAGTGAAAGACTGAAGCAGTGTACTGACGCTGTGACACGTTACCTAATAGATTCAAAAGACAGAAGAGTCGTTAGATAGATACAAGTTTAATTAAATATCAAGTTTAACAACTATAGTGAGACGTGATCCTTAATAAATTGTCCGACGTGCACTGCTCTCTCCCTATTAATTATGCCTGCCTGTTTAGATGTTGGCTGTTTATTAGTACTTGTATAGTACATATAGTACATCTAATACTTAAACTATTACCTTTATAACTTAATAATAAGCTGCGAATTAGAAGTATAGTGAGGCAAAAGTCTTAGTTAATGGTTTATTGATGATGAGAACTGACCCTAACTGACTACTGAATTGTTATTAGATAAATAAATTTTATTGAATTTTTTAATATTCTTTACTACAATAATTGATGAATCAACAAATCAGAAATAAAACCCGTAGCTCACATCTACACACAAATTTGCTCAGATTAGTTAGCATCTACAGTCAAGCTTTTACACCAAATTAATGTAAGCTTACGCACATAGTGTCACTGAAATGAATGAGCGAGCCAAACGTTATGATGAGTGCTCTAAACTATACATTTAGAATTTTATGTTGTTGCACATGTATTATGTTGTATAAGCGTATTCTACTTTTGTTCTGTTTTTTAAGGTTGCTAGTCAGAGAACAACTGACATTATACAGTGTGAAACACTGAAATAAAGGGATAGTTTACACAAAAATGAAATCTGTCATTTACGCATTCATCACTTGTTCAAAACCTATTTGAGTTTTATTCTTCTGTTGAACACAAAATAAGTTATTTTGAAGATTTCTGGTTTAAGACTTTTACAGAAAAAAAAAATATTTGTTAAATAACAGTTTTTGTGATTCACATGTGTTCTCCATTTACTTACAGTTGTGAATTGCATTATGGGACCTTGATCTCTGCTCTGTTGAATTTTATTGTTGAAAATAAAACTCTGTTTAACAAAACGACTTTTATTGACATTTTAGTAGTTTGAAATATAATAATGTATATAAAAAATAATATATAGAGAAAACCTAGTACTATAATATATCACTTTAAAGTATTAATAAAAATCCCTTTTTTGAACTTTTCATGGTTAACAGTTGTTAGAAGAAAAATCAAGGTACCATAACACAATTCAAAAGCATAAAAAATTGGGGGGGAATCACAAAATATGTAAAACTGCTAATTGTTTTACAGTGTACATAAAGTTTGCGCAATAAATCGTTCAGTTTCGATAACGCAATGTGTGCATCTGCAATAGTCACATCACATAGATCTGCAATGCTGAATTGAAACTGCAGTGTAATTTTTACATTTACATATACAGTACAAAACAAAAAAGCAATCACTGTTTGTTTCATTTTTATCTTTGCTTCAGTGCATTTATTTATGCTTATAATTTGTTTACTACATGATATGTAGTATCATCAACTCAAATTAATATATTTGGTAAAACTTTAAGGACCAATTCTCACTATAACTTAGTTGCTAGGTTATTGAGATATTGATTGCTTATTAGTACTTATAAAGCACATATTCTCTGTGATCTTATTCTAAATCCCTAATCCTACCCAATAGCTAAACTACCTTAATAAAGAGCAAATTAGGAGTTTATTGAAGCAAAAGTCATAATGGTTTGCTAAAGGCTGATTTATACTTCTGCCTCAAACACACGCATCGGCGTCGCTGATGTGCACCTCTCAAAACATGTAACTACACGTCGCAACGACGCGTAGTGCAAGCTCTGTGATTGGTCGGCTTGGTAGCGCTGACAAGTCTGGGCGGGACCGAGAACCGAGCGAATGGCGCGAGCCCGATGGAGCGATAGTTTACAAGTGTGGAGTCCCGTGAAGGAGCTCCGGAAGGAAAGTTTTGTTTTGTGTTTACCTCATAGTTAAAGTTGTTGCACGTCCGCCGGTTCCGCGAGTTTGAGCCACTTGTACATCCCGGAAGTGTTCAGGAAAAGCAAAACATAGGTGAAGAAACTCGACACAGAGGAGCATTAACACCTTACTGCCAACTAGCTTTTTTTGAAGTGTTAATGCAGACCAACAGAGACAGCGTGCAGAAGTACAAATGCACGCGCGTTGCATGCGCCGTGGGTTACGCCGGTCACTGACGCAGAAGTATAAACCAGGCTTAAGGGCCTACTCACACTATGCTATCCGTACCGTGCACAGGCCCATTTCCCGGATGATTTGAGAAGTGTGAGTGCGCTGAATCGGGCTCAGGCACGAGCGTGGTTCACTTGGGCTTTATAGCGGTAGGCTTTTGTGTGAGTGCAAAACGCGCCAAAGCCTGAAACTGAAAGCGAGACGTGACTTTTAAGGGGCTGTTTCATATGGATTTATTAATCATTCTTACTGTTCAGTGAACGCAAACTGCTATAGTTTATTAGTAAACCTCCTAATTCCTGCAGCACGAGGGCTTCATGACTGTTTATGAGCGTCAAATGTGGCTGATCTGTTCGGCAAAATATCTGACTGCGTGTCACCGCATCCCTAAGGACTAAAGCGATATAACTAGAGAAATCTCTACTGTGCTGAGCGAGAGCGCTTGCTGAACAGTGCAGCATCGATGACATAAGCGTGCCCAGGCCCGATTGTAATGTGAGTGCAGGTCGTCGGGGAAGATGGGAGGGGGACAAGCGTGCTTTGGCCCAGTTCAAGGCAACTGTACATAGTGTGAGTACGCCCTAAGAGTGAGAAATGAACCTTAAAATGAAGTGTACCCAAAACGCTTTTCAAATAGTGCTATTCAGTCATTTGCTGGATCTGTATAAATACTATATATCACAATATATATGGCCGACATTTTTTTATATTTAAATTCATTTTATTTGCTAATGTTGTGTTTTAAGAACCAGCACTTTTGAAACATCTTCTTTTGTGTTCAACAGAAGAATGAAACTGAACGAAATGGAAAAGAATGAACGGTTTAAAACCACATGAGAGAGAGTAAATGGTGAGGTAATTTTCATTTTGAAAACAGCATGATAAAGTGAGACTAACTAGTGCAATGGGTCACATCCATCTCACCTGATCCCTCCGACCGGCCGTCGCTCCCGATGAGTGGGACGGTGATGGCAGCGGTGGCCATGCCGTCTGTGGGAACGGTTGTGTAGACCACTGGTAAAGACTGCACAACCACAGGGATGGTTTGCAGCTGGCCTAGTTTACTTGGCATGTTGACGGAGGGTATGGTGTGGATGACGTGCAGGATCTGCTGACCTCCGACCCCTTGCGTGGACGCCAATATAGAGCCCTGCGACAGCACCGCCGGGATGGTGGCACTCGCCGTGATGTTCTGGGGAGGCAGGTTTGCAGGGGTGGAGGTCGCGGTGGCTATAGGAAGCGATGGACGGGGCTTGTTGAGCGACAGGTCCACGGGTTCGGTCTGGTCGGCATCGCTGTGTTGGGTGCTGATGATGCAGAGCGGTGGAGGCGAGGACTTGATTTTGAGGTCTGTGGGCTCAAGGCAATCGTCTAGCGGCTCTTGCTTCTGTGGAGGCACAAAAATAGAAGAGAACTGAGAAGAAAAAGAGGCTATGAGGGAGATAAGGAAGGACTGTGGACGAGCAAACGAAGCGAGGAAAGAGATTAGGAAGGACAGAAAGGAAAGGGAGGGTATGGAGCGCTCTCGCTCAGCTGTGCGGCAGCTCCACAAAAACACAGGAACAATGGCTGGCCAGATCGGGCCTCTACGCTGCAGAGAAGGAGGCCTGGACCTGGCGTGAATCCAACTCAACACAGCCAAGCCCAGTCACACAAATTTATACACACACAAGCTCAACACAGAGATGTGTGTGTGTGTGTGTGTGTGTGTGTGTGTGTGTATTTGTGTGTATTTGTAAGCTACACCCATTAAATTCCCCCTGCACTGAGACATATAGTTAAACCAAAACACTTTACTTGAATCAGACCTGTATGATGATATTTTGTTGAACACTAAAGACGATTTATTTCAAAGTAAGCCTATAACCGGTAACCATTAGCCATGTTTCCATCCATTTCTTTTTATGCACATTTTGGATATGGAAATGGCAAGATGCACATACATTTTGAAAAAGTGCACCGCACGCAGGTCACTCATGCATTCCATTCACCTAACTGCATGCAACAGTTCACCACAAAAAAGTGAAAAACCTATTTGAGAATATCAATAAAAGTAATACCCACAAAAGAAGGTAATTTTAAAAATGCTGAAGGCTGGTACCAATTGAATTGCATGGTATTTTGTTTTCTTACAAGAAAGAAAGAAAGAAAGAAAGAAAGAAAGAAAGAAAGAAAGAAAGAAAGAAACAATGAAAGAAAGAACCAACGAAAGAAAGAACTAACAAATGGAAGCAACAAAATAAAGAATCAATGAAGAACCAACACAAGAAAGAAGGAACAAAAAAATAGAACCTACAAATAGAACCAATGAAAAAAGAAAGAACCAACAAAAAGAACCAACAAAAGAAAGAATCAGCAAATACAATCAACAAAAAAAGAACCAACAAAAAGAACCAACAAAAGAAAAAATGAAAAAGAAACAACAAAAGAAAGAAAAAACTATGAAAGAAAGAACCAGCGAAAAAAAAAGGAACCAACAAAGGAAAGAACCAACAAAAAAGAACCAAGGAAAAAAGAAAGAATCAATTATTCATTCATTTTCTTGCAGGCTTAGTCCCTTTATTAATCCGGGGTCGCCACAGCAGAATGAACCACCAACTTATCCAGCAAGTTTTTTCGCAGCGGATGCCCTTCCAGCTGCAGCCCATCTCTGGGAAACATCCACACACACATTCACACAAACACTCATACACTACGGACAATTTAGCCTACCCAATTCACCTGTACCGCATGTCTTTGGACTGTGGGGGAAACCGGAGCACCCAGAGGAAACCCACGCTAAGGCAGGGAGAACATGCAAACTCCACACAGAAACACCAACTGAGACGAGGTTTGAACCAGCGACCCAGCGACATTCTTGCTGTGAGGCGACAGCACTACCTACTGCGCCACTGCCTCACCCAAGAATCAATTAAAGAAAAAAAAGAAACAAAAAGGACAAATGAAAGAAAGAAAAAAACAACAAAAGAAAGAACCAACAAAAGAAAGAACCAAAGGAAAAAGAAAGAAAGAAAGAAAGAAAGAAAGAAAGAAAGAAAGAAAGAAAGAACCAACAACAAAAAAAATCAACAAAAGAAAGAAAGAACCAACAAAAGAAAGAAAGAACCCATGAAAGAAAGAAGGAACCAACAAATAGAAACAATAAAAGAAAAAAAGAATCAACAAAAAAGAAACAACAAAATGGAAGGAAGCAAACAACTAAAAAAACAAGAAAACTAAGAAAACCTTAAAGTTTTAAAACCACATGAGGAAGAATAAATGAGCCAAATTTTCATTTTTGAGTGAACTACCCCCTTAAATATTCCAAGCCAGTTTAAAGCATTTAGTAGCGAAATATTCAAACATTTGCGGCGTTAACAAAACTACTTTTGGATTAATCAATTACATCTTTTGAGAGAGTTTCGTCAACATATTTAAAAAACAAATTTACTCAAAGCCTACTCAAAATTAGGTACAAACTACAATTTTTTTTCAATACTCCAACACAAGTATTAGCAGAAACAATAATAAACAGTCATATCTCTTTTAAATCATTACATTTCTAGTCAATTCGTTGAAATGTAAGTCTTTAAGTTTGAAGCATTCACACAAAATGATAAGGACTTAAATGACAAAAATCACAGAACAACAAATTCTCATGACATCTAACAAACAACAAACAAAAAGAAAGAAAAACTGAAGACAGGTACAGACAGAGGTTGTGTAACTGAAGGAAACAGCTGAGAGAAAACCAGAGCGAGTGGGCCGGGGTGGGAGCCAAACACACACAGAATAAGGGGAGAGTGGGTGGGAAAGGCCTCCGGTTGTCATGGAAACTGGGAGGTATATCAGCTGACTCATTTTCGCTCTCTCTCTCTCGATCCCACCCACATCTCGCTTTGGCTCTCTATGGTTCTCCACCCTGCCACCTCATTCTCTCTGCATCCCCACCCTTCAGCTGCTCCACCTTTCTTGCAGTCCTATGTTGTTTTCCACTGCTCGAACCTGAAGAAAAGCACGTAAAGATGTAGTGCCAGAGTCGGAAGGACCACATCAATAAGTGACCCAATTATCGCTAGCGTGCTGTGTGGGATGTTAATTGAGTGTGCTCAATATCTATTAGCAGTTGTAGGAAACGGCTTGCGGTGGAAAGAGCGAGTGTTGCAACAGGAAGCCTTGTGGCTCTCGTTATCAAAACCAGTTGTGTTTGATTTGGCTGTTTTTATGACAACATTTAGATTTGTTGACGTGTTGTTGTATTTTCAATGTCACACCTGACAAAATATGAATGTAATTAGTATCATCATCATTAAAAAAGTAAATGGTTAAACACTTCATAGTCTTCCATGAAGCACTTGTTATATAAACTGCTTTGCTCATTTTTTTTGTCAAATCTTAAAACTGTCCTATGGTTTGACTGACTCAAGATTGGTTTAATAAATTACAGCTCTTATTAATAAAAAAGAAAATTGTAAAATCATTAATAAATACCTGAGGACTCATTTTTACAATTGGCTATTTTAGTTAATCATTCAATTCATATAGGAAATTCATGCATTATGTCAGAGAAAACCATGTCTGCGTCCGAAACTGCATACTTCCATACTATACAGTACGCTTAAATCATTATGCGAGCAGAGTAGTATGTCCAAATTCATAGAATTCGAAAATCAGTATGCGAGAAGTACCCGGATAACTTACTACTTCCGGCGAGATTCTGGAATGCGCATCCCATGCACGCTGCGCTATCCCATAATGCCCGGCGAGAGAATTCATGAATGGAAGTGAAGCGACGTAACTGGCGCAGGTAGGTCACGTGACCATGACAAAATGGTGAATGTAGTATGTCCGAATTCCATTCATACTTTTCACATTCATACTGTATAGAATGTACTTTTCTAACGGCCGAGTAGTACGTTTAAATTTAAATGCAGTACCTACTGAGTAGTAGGCGGTTTCAGACGCAGCCCATATAACCCAGTGTGACACTACACTACCTGACAAAAGTCTCTTCGCCAATCCAAGTTTTAGGAACAACAAATAATAACTTGACTTCTAGTTGATTATTTAGTATCAGAAGTGGCTTATATGATAGGTAAATCCCTCTAGATTACGCTTATTTTACCAAAACAAAAAATGAGCAAGCCTTAATTTTGAGTTATTTAATTAGGACAGTAAGGTCTGACTTTGCTTAGACAAAACTTGACAGAAATTATGTCCAGTGCAGGATACAAAGTCATAGTGCAGTTGAAAACAATTTTTTGTTTTATTACCGTGTTTGACTCCCATGAGCTTGGACGACTGCATCCATACATCTCTGCAAGTACTCAAATAACTTATTAACAAAGTCATCTGGAATGGTAAAGAAAGTGTTCTTGCAGGACTCCCAGAGTTCTATGGAGTAAAACAGCAGATTATAGTGTGTGTGCATACATACACTGACTATGTTCTGAGAGCTGAGAGGCTTATTTGGATTTTCTCAGACATATAAAGATCAGTGTGCAACACACACACACACACACACACACACACACACACACACACACACTCAAACACGCTTTTTGCGGCTAATTCGTACAAGTTAAGTCGTATGAAAATGTACGATTTTAAAAAGGAGGCATGCATCCAACCCGCCCCTAAACCCAACCATCATTGGCTGATGAGCAAATCGTAATAAATTGTACAAATTACATTTTACGTATTTATATGAATTAGCCACTAAATCAAAAAGTTACGAATTGTCATAAGATTGTGTTGTTCCAACAGCACAAAAAGGTAAGTAAGTGAAGAAAAACAAAAGATTCAAACCAGGAACCAAGAAGTCCAGTGATAAACATATGAGTTCAGACAGAACAAGGAACTACTGATGCTAAAGGTTGGCAGCACAGAGAAAACTGCTCCCTGTTTCTCACAGTGTAGAACAAATTGAGTAAGATCGAGAGAGAGAGAGAGAGAGAGAGAGAGAGAGAGAGAGAGGCTGAACTGTTATAAGAGTTTCCGGCGAAAATCCTTCCGTTTAACATTGTTAGGAATGATGGTCTGACAGCACTATGACTCTCCACTGACCTTACCGATGGCCATTAATGGGGAAATTGACCATTAATAATATTCCCAAGTGAGTTCACCAAGTTTGCATTCCACCACAAAGCTTCGTTACAAATTAGATTCAATAATCAACAACAAAAGATTTATATAGACTGGTAAAGAAATATGCATTACAGTCTAAAATTTAACACCGTGAGAAATGGCCTCTGTTACTGAAGTTTTCTGCTTCAATAAAGGATGACTGTGCTGCACTATGCTTATAATTGCTGAGTAAAAATAATGCTGCACCACCAAATAGGGTTGATCTCCTGTATCTAGAGAATTTTTTAAAGATTCTTGTTACCACACCCAGTTGTACGTGCT